TCTGGGCATCACCACAAAGATCTCCAGAGGCACCATTGAAATCCTGGTTAGTGAACCTGGCTCACCAGTGCTAGCCAGGCAGGTGGAGGGGGGCTGTGGCCCTGCTGGATGGATGTCTAAGTGCTGTCTTTTCTGTGCAGAGTGATGTGCAGCTGATCAAGACTGGAGACAAAGTGGGAGCCAGCGAAGCCACCCTGCTGAACATGCTGAACATCTCCCCCTTCTCCTTTGGGCTGATTATCCAGCAGGTGTTTGACAATGGCAGCATCTATAACCCGGAAGTGCTTGATATCACTGAGGAAGCTCTGCATACTCGCTTCCTGGAGGTAACATGTGACTCAGCTCTGTCTCTTCGCATTTGAGGTGGACTTCAAAAAGTTCATGGGAAAATGGAATGAAAACAATTTTTGCAGACTTTTTGAGCGACTCCATCTCCTTGTATTTCTGGTCAAGCTATATAAAGTCCTGATTCTGTTGCTTAAACTGTATAGTTAAGCCCTTGAGTCAGTTTTGACTTCTGTGGACCCTGCATAGGGTTCCTGAGAAACGGCTGGGGGATTGAACCCCATCGGCCACCTTACGTTTGATACAGTGCTGTACCAAGGCTATAACCAAGTATAATTGTTAAAGAGGTTTCCCTTAGTTCCCTTATCTATCAGATGACAATAACAGCAGTTTGTTGCAGAATTTAATAAATGTAAAGCCCTAAGAGCACTGCTGGGTTATCCAGGAGTTGTAATCAGGAAACTTTAATTTCATATAAGCTGTGGCTTTTGACGTAAACTCCCATCAGTATTTGGTAATGGGAATACTTAGATTGGGTTGAGGGCAGACAGCATTGTAATCTGGTAGGTATGCCTGGAAGCAGTTAGTATGAATGACTGAAATGTTACAAGTATTGTCTGTTTCCAGTGAGCTTTGTTTGGACTTTACTGATTTTATTCCAGGACCATTCACTCAAAGTATCATTACTCTCCTCCTCTTCCTGCAGGGTGTTCGCAACGTTGCCAGTGTGTGTCTCCAGATTGGTTACCCAACTGTGGCCTCAGTACCTCATTCCATCATCAATGGGTACAAGCGGGTCCTGGCTTTGTCTGTGGAGACTGAGTACACCTTCCCACTGGCTGAAAAGGTAACAGCTCCCATCAGGATCACAGTGGGCCCAACTGCAGAATCTGGAGAGGAATGAATAGCAAATGGCATCGTAGTACAGGTTTTACAGAACGTATAGAATATGACTAGGAGGTTGGTATTGGGTAACAGACTTTAAAGGGGCAGTAGGCAAGGAGCTCTGGTAGCGTAGTGGTTACGAATCGGGCTGTAAACCGCAAAATCAGCCTTTCGAAACGACCAGCTGTTGCGCGGGAGAAAGATGAGGTGTTCTGCTCCCATAAAGATTTACAGCCTTGGAAACCTTATACAGGGTCACTATGAGTAGGAACCAACTGCACAGCAAGAGGTGCTCTCTGACACTCACGGTATCCTATCTGAGTCACTTCCGGTTCATAGTGACCTCTTCCTACAGTGTCGCCAACACTAGGGCTCTATAAAGGGTTGATGGGCAGTAGGGACTGTTTTAACCACCATCTTCTCTCCCTTGCTTCATTCAGGTCAAGGCCTTCTTGGCTGATCCATCTGCATTTGTGGCTGCCGCCCCTGTGGCTGCTGCCACCACTGCTGCTCCAGCTGCTGCCTCCGCCCCCGCCAAGGTTGAAGCAAAGGAAGAGTCGGAGGAGTCAGACGAGGATATGGGATTTGGTCTCTTTGACTAGTCACCAAAGCTACCACCAATTCAGCCAACTTTATTGGCAGCAAAGAATTAAAGGCTTACTTCTCTTTAAAGCCTCCATACTCTTTTATGTTGTACATCTTGAAGAACTAGCCTTTCAGCATGAACTACTACTTGGTCTTGATAGACCAACTTACACTGTCATTTTATACTGTGATTTTTGGACCCAGGGCCCAAAGAACAAGATGAAAGTTTGGGTTCCTCTAAGCTCTGGATGTGGTGGATGCTATAGGATAAGTATTGGACTGTGAATCATGAGCTTACTGGTTCAAACCCACCAGCTGCTCCTTAAGTACCCTATGCAGGGTCGCTATGAGTCCAAGCTGACGGACTGAGAAGCTACCTCAAAGAATCCCTGGTGGTGCAGTGGTTAAGTGTTTGACGGCTAAGCGAGAGGTTACTCTTAGGATGGAACAAACCTGTTGATCTGTTCCTTTGACAATAATAGCCTATGGGAGCCTGCTCTGGTAGCGTAGTGGTTATGAATCAGGCTGTGAAACTTAAGGTCAGCAGTTTGAAACTACCAGCTGCTCCACAAGAGAAAGATGAGGCTTTCTGCTCCCTTAAAAATTTACAGCCTCGGAAACCCTGTACAGGGTCGCTATGCATGGGTTGGAACCGAGTTAACACTTAACAATAGGGTTGTTATGAGTCAAATTGACTCGGCACAATAGTAAGTATATCATAGAGGTTATTGATGTCAGTTGATAGGCATTCTGAATGACACTTGTAACCTAACTAGTGACTCACTTTATGTTAAGTACTATCAGCCCTGACTATATAGGATTTCCAAGGAGCCAGCTTGTGGGTTTGAATGCTTGACATTAGGTTAGCAGTCCAGTGCTTACCCTACAGTGCCACATCAAGACTCCAAAGCAAGTGACTCTATGTTAAGTGTTAATTGAAACTGTTCTGACTCAACAATGACCCTATATAGGGTTTCCTAAGGAGCTCTGGTAGCTTAGTGGTTAGCAGTTTGAAACTACCAGCGGGAGAAAGTTGAGGGTTTCTGCTCCTTAAAAGATATACAGCTTTGGAAACCCTGTGCAGGGTCTCTGAGTTGGAACCGACTTCTTATCACATCACCACCACCACCACCACCATAGGGTTTCCCAAGAACAGCTGGTGGGTTTGGACAGCCAACCTTTTGGTTGGCAGTTGAAAAGTCTTGAAGTATTTGTAAATGACAAGCCTACAACATCTTTTCTCCCACAAAGTTGTCCTATAGAACAGTATTTCAAACTAGATGGGTGGTGGGTGGCTAGTGTTAAATATGATTACTCAGTAGGTGGTTGGTTGTGAAGCTCTTCCACATACAGATCTATTCACTGCGTCTTCTAACAGGCTGAATACTGATTCCAACAGCCAGGAACTCTACCTCTAGACTTAACTGCTTCAGCTCCCAACATTTCTAAGGCAGGTTTCTTTCCTGAATCCAAGAGTGATTAGGTCATGGCTTCCTTTTTAAACAGCACAAATGGCTACACCCTTAGCTGTTAGTCAATAGTATGATGTTCAAACCCATCCATAGATGCTGTGCAGAAAAATGTCCAATCTGTTTCCAAAGGTGCCGGTTCAGGCCCTGTACGGGGTTTTGGAGGATGTAAATCTTTATGGGAGTAGAAAGCTCCCTTGGAGTGGCTGGTAGTTTCGAACCGCTGACCTTAAGGTTTGCATCCCGATTCATAACCACTGTGCTACCAGAGCTCCAAGGTATGGCTTACTACACAACCGTAAATACAGAATGAAAAACCTCATCTGTGTCATCCTCAGTCTGCTATGCCCGTTGTTGCAGCTACTGTCCACCCATATGGGGCTGGAGGTGTCTTTCTCTGACCTAACTATACCCACGACAATGATCTATAGGGATTGGTCCTTTCTGAAAGCATACTGGGTGAATGCTAAGGAACATTTCTGGTGGTACTCAATGGCAGCACATGGTGTGTTCACAATTGATTCCCAATGGTGCATGCTTACTGTACACAAAGGGGTTGACATGGGTTGGAATCCATTTGGTGGTAACTAAAGGTTGAGTGTTGAAGAGCAAAGGTCATCTTGAGGACTAAGGTGTGTGTGACCCAAGCCATGATATTTTCGGTAACCTCATAAGCATGCAAACGCTGGACAGTGAATAAGGAAAATAGTAGAAGAATTTGATGCATCTGAGTTAATGGTGTTGGAAGAGAATATTGAAATTGCCATGTGCTGTCAAAAGAATCAACAGATCTGTGTTGGAAGAAGTGCAGCTAGAGTGCTCCTTGGAGGCCAGGAAGGCCAAACTTAGTCCCTCATATTTTAGACATATAGTTAGGAGGGACCAGTTGCTGAAGAAGGATACTGTGTTTGATACCGTGGAGGGTCAGAAAAAAGAGGAACCACCCCAGCAAAGTGGCGAAGTGGCATCCTCAGTGGGTTCAAGTGTGGCAACAAATGTGAAGTTGGCTCAGGATTGGACAGTGTTGTGCATAGGGTTGCTGAGTCGCTATCGACTGGATGGCACCTGACAACAACAACAACGGTTGAGAGTCCTGGTGTGGCAAGGTAGGTTAATGCTCAGGAGTGCAAATTCGGTCTGAACTGCAAGGTCGGTGGTTCAAGCTCATCAGCTGCTTTTCAGAAACCCTATATAAGGTCCCTATGAGTTGGAACACTTAAAATCACCACCTCGAGGTAGGTATTTCAAACCCACCAGCTGTTCAGAAACCCTAGGAGTTGGAACACATTTAACATCGACATTCGCCACAAAACCCTTGTAGACATCATCCTGACTCTTGCTTTTTACCTAGGAATTCTGCCATCGAGTCAGTTTCTACCCTACAGGGTCTCTGAACAGTGGCTTAAGCCGCCGACCTTGGGTTCCAGTGCTTATACTACAGCGCCACATATTTTCTCTATAAAGGGTTACACTTTGACTTAGAGAATGCCTAGTTAGGGTGTTCAGGCTGGACCTGCAGGGGCGAAGTGGACCGGGGCTGCAGGGAAGTTTGAGTCAAATCCTTTTAAACCTTCGTCTCCCGCCCTGAGGCCAGGCCTAGAAGGGTACCTGGCCCCGGGCTTAAGGTCAGTTTCGTTCGGGCCACAGGGGTAGCCAACGGCCTGCCGGGTGACGCCAGAGTAGGCCATTAGTCCCACTTAGCAACCGACCTCGCCCTGCCGCGTGGGCCCGCGCGGTGACCCGGAAGCACTCCGGAAGCGGTTCCGGGGTCAGCACCGGCAGGATGGCGGCGGACACGCAGGTGAGGTGGGCAGCTGCGGGGCCAACGGGGTAGTGTACTGCGCGCGGACGGCGGTCGCTGGGCTAGTCCATCACTGACGCTTGGTTTTGGGGCGAGGACCCGGGACTGGCGGAGGCCACGGCGGGTGCGGCCCAGGGCCTCCGGGAACCGGCTCCTTACGGCTCCCGGCCCGCTCCGGCCCGGCCCCCGGCGCGGGCGGCGCCTACCTACCCTGATGGACTTGGAAGAGTCTGCGGCTCCGGCCTCGGCGTCAGTAGCTGGGGGTTGGCGGAATTTTCCCTGACCCTGAAGTTGCATAAATAAGCCTGCCGGAATCTCTGCTCCATTTCCTCCCAAATCCACCGGCCGTTATCCCTGCACCGACCCCAAATCTTCTTTATGCTTTAAATTTGGCAGATGTTTTCGAGCACCTGCTGAGTACAAGAACTTAAGAGTATAGGCTTTGGACTCACACACATAGAGGTTTCACTCCCACTCTTCCTCTCTATAACCTTCGGCTAGTGGCTTAACTTGCTAAGTCTCAGTCTCTGCATCTATAAAATGGGGGTTAGCTAATACAGGTCTTAAAGGGTTGTTTTGAAGATTCATTGAGATAAAGTAGGACATGATATACTTACTGTTACTGGGTTCAGGATTTGATAAAAGAACTGTTGCCATCTAAGAAGAGCTACTGTCACCCAGGACTGGTGACGTCCCTTGTAGATCAGGGAAAGAATTTTTTTTCCATGCCAACATTGTATGTAGCTCCCTGTGTGTTTTAGGTGAGAAGACAGTATTATGGTGTGGCGCTGTGGGTTAATGTTCCAGACTGCAAAGCCGTTTGAACTGCAAGGGCGGTGGTTCAAGCTCACCAGCTGCTCCTTGGAAACCCTGTGCAGGGTCGCTGTGGGTCAGAACCGACTCGACGGCACTAACAACAACAATAAAGGACATCTTGTCTTACTTGAGACCCTAGGGAAATAAGATTAATTGATTTTTAGATGTAGACTTGGGACAGTGGTGGTTCAGAGGTAGCATTCTCACCTTCCTGGATTCGATATCTGGTCAGTGCACGTCCTGTGAAGCCTTTACATGTATTGTCAGTGGAAATTTGTGTAATGTTGAGCAGGTTTCAGCAGAACTCAGACAAGGAAGAAAGGCCTGGAAGTCTACGTCTGAAATACAGCCAGTGAAAACTGAATGGATCACAGTAGTCCAATCCCGGGGTATCATCTTCATGGTACACAACAACCATAAGATATGTGTGCCCTGGTATGAGGGAATGACCTCTTACGGGAACATTCAGAATGTTTATTGAGGGTCTCCTGGTAATTTGTTGCCAGTTGGTTATATGCAGTCCTAGAGAGAAACGCTACTTACTTTCGTGACTCTAGAGGAGTAAGGAGATACCATGCTAAATGTTGTGCATTTATACTCAAGTGCAAAAAGACACTTCACTCTAAAGGTAGATATGTTGTCCAGTATGAAATCCATTAGTCACATAGTCACATGATTATTTCATTAATAGCCACATGGCTACTTAATGTTGATTAAAATTAAATGACATTAAAAATTTAGTTCTTCAATTGCATTGGTGGTGGTGGTTATGTGCCATGGAGCCAGTTCCAACTCATAGCGATCCTGTACAGGGTTTCCGAGGCTGTAAATTTTTAAGGGAGCAGAAACCCTCGTCTTTCTCCTGCAGAACAGCTGGTAGTTTTGAACTGCTGACCTTGCGGTTCACGCTTTTTAATGCATAGTAGCCATTTGTGGCTTGTGTCTGCATATTGGATGAAGCAGAAGAACATCAGCGTTATCACAGAAAGTTAAATTGGTCAGCGTCGTACTGGTTACGAATCGGGCTGCGAACCTCAAGGTCAGCAGTTCGAAACTGCCAGCATGGGAGAAGGATGAGGCATTCTGCTCCTGAAAAGATTTACAGCCTTGGAAACCCTGTACAGGGTCGCTATGAGTTGGAACCGACTCCACAGCATATAACCAGCACCACCACTCTAGAGAGAATCCTGTTAGTTTTAAACCCACAAGTTAATTCTCTGAGAGGTCTGAGTGAACCCTTCTTCAGTTTTGTTCTGACATAATCTCTAGTGGGTAATGTTCATTTTCTGATGAAGGAAAAGAAGAATGTTGAAATAGAAGTGTTCTTTCATCTTTGTGAGAGAAAGAGTATCCAGGAATTTAGTATGATCACATGGAAAGACAGCCCTGTGGGAGTTCTGAGTAGAGTCCATTATGACGCTGAGTGACCCTATAGGATAGAGTAGAACTTCTCCATGGGGTTTCTGAGACTATAAACTTATATGGGAACAGACAGCCTCATCTTTCTCTCCTGAGTGGCTGGTGGTTTTGAAATGGCCGACCTTGTGGTTAGCAGCTCAGAGCTTAACCCATTGCACCACCCAAGCTCATACATCTATTTTTCTCTCAAAACTACTAAAACCCATTGCTACCGAGTCGATTCTGATCCACAGACACCACATAGGCAGGGTAAAACTGCCCCATAGTGTTTCCAAGGCTGTAAGTCTTTACAGAAGCAGACCACAACAGCTCCTATGGAGTGGTTGGTGGGTTTGAACCACCAACCTTTTATTGGCATGTTGTTGTTGTTATGTGCTGTGGAGTCAGTTCCAACCCATAGCAACCCTGTACAGGGTTTCCGAGCCTGTAAATCTTTACGGGAGCAGAAAGCCTCATTTTTCTCCCGCGGAACAGTTGGTAGTTTTGAATTGCTGACCTTATGGTTCACAGCCCGATTTGTAATCACTATGCTACCATAGCTCCTTTTTTATTGGCATAGAGGCAGTAAAAGTGAAAAACCAGATAAATACATTTTTTAGAAATAAGGAGGTAACTTCAAAAATCATCAGCCAGAATAGAGAGAGTTTGCTTTATAATTCTTTATTTTTGACTTGTGTTACTATATATGCACTTATGAGTGTAAGTCGAAAAAGTACTGGTACTAGGGTTCCAGTTTATACATGCATGGGTTTATTCGAAACAAAATGAATTTTAAATGTCTCTGTGGTCATTGGATGGCGGCAAAGACGTACTTTTAGTACTGCACTTGTTTTAGTCTTCTTAGGATGCCTTCCAGAAACAGGTTCAATCAGAACATTGCCTTCCGAGGGGATCTGCTGGGTCATTTCAATTCAAGGCACAGAGATCAGCTCAGAAGATTATGGTGGCACTATGTTTTGGGATTTCAAAGGTGTAATCTTGATGGATTTTCTTAAAGGACTCAGGATGGTTATGAGGATTTATTAGTAAGAAGTTTTAAGGAAATTGAAAACTGCATTGGCGAAAAAAAGGCCAGGAAAGCTGTACTGAGGAATTTTTTGCCATTATGACAATGCATCTACTCATTCTTCAAGGGTAGTAAGGGCTATCCTATAAGGATTCCATTAGGAAACCTTATCCCATCCACCCTACAGTTCTGTTTTTGGTCTTTCAGACTCCTGTTTGCTCCCAGAGCTAAAGGAACATTGAAAAGGAAAACAACTTGAGTTCCTCAAAGATGCTAAAGCTGCCATTTTGATGTGGAGCAAATTGAAGCATGCAAAGTTCTCTGGGGGAGCTCTGTTAAGTGTCGTTGAGTCAGTTCTGACTCATAACCACCCAGCATAGGGCTTCTGAGGAGCAGCTGGTACATTTGAACTGCTGACCTTGTGGTTCGCAATGCAATACTGATCTTACAGCACCACACCAAACACCGCCTTCAGAGTTTATAGACTAGATGGAGGAAATGTCTAGAAACAATAGTGTCTCATTTTGATATTTTTGTTTAATAAAACTCTATGGTTTTGCAGCAGTACCTTTGGACTTACCCTCTTATAACTACAAAAACAAAAGACTTGGTAAAGTTAAAACAAATTTATTTTGATGACAAAGTGGTGAGCATCCATTTATTCATTGCTAAAAACATAGTAGGAATGTCAGCAAAAGAAAGATTTGGCATTCTTTTCTTTGTCTCCACCTTGATTCTTATGCTACTTTTAAGGCCTGCCTATGAACTAGGAGGAGGGGCAAGTTTGTGGGGAAAAATTTGTCTTTAATGGCATCTCCCACCAACTCTTTGAAGCCCCCTTGTACTCTCAAAAGAAAAAGATGTGTTCATTTTGAACCCTACTGTGTTCATTATGAACCCTACTCAGCATCATGCCGTGCTCACTGGCTCTTGTGTCTTAAGACCTGCCTACTTTGTAGCATGTAGAAGAGCCCATTCTCAGGCCTGTTTAAAAGTCTGCTTTTGTCTTTCTCTATACGGAGAACATGCAGCGGTGGGAACTTGGATGAGGATTCATGTGAGCCCTTGTTAGCATCCACTTATAGACCTGGTTAGTTTCAGGCATAGTTTCACACACACAGGTGCTGTGGCTCTCAGCTCTTAACTCCGCTCTGAGAAATGGGGAGACTGATGGCTTTCTTACAGGCTTGTTATAACAGTTGCTGACCATGCTTGGAATGAAGTATATACTTTGCACACATGATCTCATTTAATCTCGGTAACAGTCATGTTGGCTGCCTGGTCTGCTAGGTGAAGAAACCGCAGCTCATGGAGGTGAGCCACAGAACTGGGATGCAGTCCTTTCTCGCCTTGCCTTTTAACCACTGTGCTAGTGGTCTGCAAGGTCGGTTGTCAATTTTCACCTTTGGAAGCTTAAAATGAGATCATGTCAAGGGAACACGTGTGCACATAGTAGGCCCTCACTAGATTTTGGGTAATTCAAAAGGGTATTTATTTTCTCTCCTGAGGTTATGGCCTTTTGTCTTGCCCAAGTGCAGTAAGGTTTATTGACTGGCTGACTGGTTGGGTTAAAGTAGTCATTCTCACCCAGGGGTGATTTTGCACCCCAGAGACAAATATCTGGTGGGTTGTTGTTGTTTTTTAAGTTTTTATTGTAAATTGTGTGATAGTTTACATGGGAGAACATTAGTTTTATGCTCTTTGTTTCATTGCAATGATTAAAATCTCCGGGCATCATCATAGTATTTGCTTTTATTCTGGTTTTTTTTTTTTGCTATACACAAAAACACATAATCATTTAAACAACCAAAGGGCACATTTTGCAAGCCTGCCTTCTGGACGTATTTTTGATTTTCACAACTAGGTTGCAAAGGGTCGGGTAGAACTACTGCCATCTAATGGACAGAGAGGCCTGGGATGCTGCTAAGCAATTCATAAGACAGCCCCTATAACAAGGAAACACCTAGTCCCAAGTGTCAGTAATGCAGAGGCTGAGATATCACTGAATTCTGCCAACCCTTCTCTACCTCCCTTCATTGTCATGTCTGACCAGTGACATTTTCTCTGGGCTTGCCTTTTACAGGTCTCTGAGACACTAAAGCGTTTTGCAGGGAAGGTGACGACAGCCAGTGTGAAGGAACGGAGAGAAATCCTCAGTGAACTGGGGAAATGTGTTGCTGGAAAAGGTATTTCTTCGTCATTCATGTGGCCTGGAGATCCCGCAAAGTACATTGTAGCCACTGTTTAGAATGGGGCTTTCACTTTTTGCCTTTGCTTGTTTGAATGGGAGCTGAACTTGCTTTCGCAAGGTTACTTAGGATGTTGGAGAGTTTACCCATTTAGGTACCAAAGCTGTTTATACAGTAGTAGCTTGTTTGATTGGAAATATTTCTAAGATACCAGCAATCTTTCTTGAGTAATAGATTGGATATATAAACATTTTCTTGATAACTTGGGGTACCATTCTTCCCAGTCTATATTCTTTGGATGCCAGCAAGATGTTACCGGGCGTTTGGCCATCAAAGTATTCTTAGGTCCCTAAGTTTTGGAGATGATGGCACACTCCTGAATCCCTTATTGGGATTCTCCTTCTTTCTAGCCAGCCTGTTTGGTTTCTTGTGTCTCAGTTTCTTCATCTGAAAGTGGGGTCAGTTACAGTACCCATCTCCCAGGCAGTGAGTGAGTCAGTGGGTAAACTGCTAGAGCGGCTGGCCCCTTAGAAGCACTAACTACGTAGTGGGTGTTAGCCAGTGCTGCATCAGAAGCTTCACAAGTGGGTGACTGTCACAAGAGGAAACTTCTCTTCTCACAGCTGAGGAGGCTCTAAGTATAAACCCAGAGTGCTGGCTTGAAGGGAAAGCTCTAGGGGAAGGTCCTTACTTGGCTTCTTGGTGATCCCCAGGTGCTATGACATTTGTCTTTTCCCAGCTCTGCTTTTCTGTCCTAACCTGCTCTTTTAATCGCTTTATGGTAGAGTAGTGGTTACGACCCTGGCTGCTAATCTCATGGTCAGCAGTTCGAAACTACCAGTGGTTCCACAGGAGAAAAATGAGGCTTTCTGCTTCCATAAAGATTTATAGTCTTGGAAACCCTATACAGGATTGCTGTGAGTTGGAACTGACTCCATGGCGCATAACCACCACCGAAGTGATTGGCTTCAGACACATCCTACATGGACATGGTCTCTTTACCAGAATAAGAAAACCCATTCCCAAATGGCATTGCAACCACCGGTGTAGGGATTTTGATTTAGGACACACATTTTGGGGGAAGACAGTTCCATTCATCACAGGTGTTGTTATTTCTACCACCTTTCTTCCTCCTCATCTGTTCTAGGAGGAGGTGATGCTTTCCTACTCTGCACTGTGAGGTCATGCCGTTAAACGTGTTCGTCCTCTCTTTCCATCCCTCCAAAAATTGGTGATCATTAGGTCAAGCTGGGATCTCCTCAGAAACCTTCAGAGACCACTCCAGCTGCAGGCCTTCGTACTTGGATTTTAAAACTGTGTACTGTTCAAAAGGACAAATATTACCTGAGACCACTGTTGTCAAGAGTTAAGAAAAGATTTTCGAGCAAAATGAAACATTCTATGATGACTACAGAGGGGGAGTAGGGGAGAACGAAAGAAAAATAAAGTGAATAGAGGGAAATATTCTTGATTGATGGTCCATGGAGTGAATTGTAATCCTGTAAAATTACTGATGATGATTAAAGACCACAGCCTTCAATATGGATTGAATCTCAATGTAAAGCAAACAAAAATCCTTACTGCCAGACCAGTAAACAACATTCTTATCAATGGAGCAAAGATTGAAGTTGTCAAAGAATGAATTTTTCTTGAATCAACCATCAATATTCATGGAAGTAGCAGTCAAGAAATCAAATGACGTATTGCATTAGGCAAATCTGCTGCACAAGACCTTTTTAAAGTGTTGAAGAGCAAAGATGTCAGCTTGAGGAGTAGGGTGCACCTGACCCAAGCCATGGTATTTTCAGTAACCTTATATGCATGTGAAAGTTGGGCGGTGAATAAGGAATATCATGGAAGAGTTGATACATTTGAGTTATGGTGTTGGAGGAGAATACTGAAAGTGCCATGAGCTGCTGAAAGAACAAAACTGATCTGTATTGGAAGAAGTACAACCAGAATGCTCCTTGGAAGCCAGGATGGCCAAATGTCATCTCTCATACTTCAGACATATTGTCAGAAGGGACCAGTCACTGGAGAGGGATATCTTGTTTAGTAAGGTGGAGGGTCAGAGAAAAAGAGGAAGACCCCCAGCAAGATGGATTGGCAAAGTGGCAGCATCAGTGGGCTCAAGTGTGGCAACAATTGTGAGGTTGGGCCAGGATTGGGCAGTTTCGTTCTGTGTGTAGGGTCACTATGAGTCGGTACCGACTCTATGGCACCTAATAACCACAACAACGAGATAAAGAGTGGGACTGATGATTTTTTCTGTCAACTTGTACTCAATTCACAATAAAAAGTTTACAACAAGACAAAACAAAAGCTATGATTTTCAGCTTTTACCAGGGCATACATAAAACCCTGTGCCCACATCAGAGGTGAACAGCTTGCTGAATTGTTGTAAACCACACACTCCTGTGTCGCTGGTACTCCTCTCAAGACACACACAATAGTCCAGGCATGCCACATCTTCTTCTATAGCACTTGAAACGTTGAGGCCAGGTGTAGCATGTATTGCCTTAGCTTCCGTCATGAACACACGTTGGCTTCCTACACTTGGTGTTGTATCAGAGTCTGGGTTTTTTTGTTATCTTTTTCTCTTGTGAGTTGGATTTCAAATCTATAGGCGGGTCCTGCCAGCAGAGAGCCTTTCTGGCATAAAGTGTGATCCAACAGGTGCTCAGGAAGCAGTTTTTAATGATTCTTTGTGTGATCCTTGGCTTTAGATCTGCCGGAGGGAGCAGTGAAAGGGCTCTGCAAGTTGTTCTGCTTGACTCTGCATCGATACAGGTGAATGTCTGCCAAATGCCCGGGGCCCAGAGCACCGTTGATAGGGAGGCAGCTAAGGGAGGGCTGTGCTAAGAGCCCAGGTGTTGGAGGCAGCTTGCCTAGTTCCCAGTCTGGGCTGCAGTACATCCTAGCTCTCGGAAACTGAGCCCTCAGTTAACTGCTCTGTGCCTCAGTTTTCTCATCTGTGGAATGGGGATGATACTGTGGTCTACCTCACAGGGTAAGGGTTAATGAGTGAAGTGCCTGGAACAGCACCTTCTCATCATGAGTGCTTGGCTGTGCACAAATCATGCGCTGTTGAGGTAGTAGCTGCCTTGAGAGCTTTCATGGCTGGTTTGCCCTACCAGCTCCTTCCAGGAGTGACCCACTGGGATACTGTGTGATAAAGTTTTGCTGAGACCAACTTGACTTGGCCTCAGCAGCCTTGCCCTTCCCTGAGTCATGTGTTCACTTTCCCCTTCACGTCCTCTAGAGACGCAGCCTCCCGCAGGGCCCTACAGGCCGCCATCCAGCAGCTGGCTGAGGCCCAGCCGGAAGCCACCACCAAGAATCTCCTGCACTCTCTGCAGTCTTCAGGCATTGGCTCCAAAGCAGGTGTGCCCAGGTAAGGGAGACTGGTGGTGCCACTGGGAGCAAATGTGCTTGGACATGGGACTGGAAGTGTGCTGGCAGTTGGCCTCACAGTGGAGGGAAGAAGCAGGCTGGCAGTCTTGACTTTCCCCAGCAGTGGGGCTGGGAGCCAGGGCTGGAGAACCCGATGCCCATCAGGCACAGGACGAGCGAAATCGTCCTTTGTGAAGAAAGACCCCTGGTGGTGCAGTGGTTAAGTGCTCAAATGCTAACCAAAAAGTTGATGGTATGAACCTACCAGCTGTCCTGAGGGAGAAAGATGGGGCAGTCTGCTTCCATAAAGATGACAGTCTTGGAACCGTGACGGGGCAGGTCTTCTCTGTAGTCAGCTCTCAAAGGCAAATGGCTTAGGTTTGGAACAGTGCTAAGACAGGGGAATGTGACTGAACTCCTTGTCAGGTGACTTGTAGGGAACTGGCCTCAGATCGCCCCAGTTTTAGGTCCCCGGCAGGTTGTCTTGCAGTGAGCATTTGTCCTCCAGATGGAGGCCGCTGCTCTGTGCTCACCCCTTTCTTTCCTTCCCTGCACAGTAAGAGCAGTGGCTCAGCTGCCCTGCTGGCCCTGTCCTGGACCTGCCTTTTGGTGCGCATTGTCTTTCCCTCAAGAGCCAAGAGGCAAGGAGATGTCTGGAACAAACTGGTAGGTGCTCTGGGTCTGTGGGTGGGTGATGTTCGAGTTTTTGCACAGTCAGCGCATATTTAAGGACTGCCTCTGTGCCTGGGGCTCTTCCAGGTGACAGGTCACAAGAACTCAGAGTTGTCCCAGAGTTTGGTGGATGGCCAAGAGTGTAATCTAACATCATGGATTTATCTGTTCCTTAAATATCATGGAGCGTCTAGTTCTAACTGTTAGGTGTGTCTTTAGGGATTGGGACTCCAGTGATGAATAAGAGACACATATTTCCCACCTTGATGACAAATGAGGAAGATGTGATATGCCAGAGTGAGGAAGGCAGCCAGATAGCAAGTAAACCAGAAAATATAATTATGTAAATCAGTTTTTTTTTTCTGGCTAATGAGTTCTTTTCCTTTGTGTGATTTCCAGTACCTGTTATTATTACTATCAGGTGCTGTTGAGTCTATTCCTTCTCATAGCGACAATAAACAGAATGAACCTGTGCCTGATTCTGTGCCGTCCTCACAATCATTGCTGTGTTTGAACACAGCGTTGTTGCAGCTCCTGTGCCATTCCATCTCATTGAGGGTCTTACTCTTATTGCTGATCCTCTACTTTACCAAGCAAGGAGCTCTGGTAGCGTAGTGGCTACGACTCGGCTTGATAACCTCAAGGTCAGCCGTTTGAAACTACCAGTTGTTCCACAGGAGAAAGATGAGGTTTTCTGCTCCCCTAAAGATTTACAGCCTCGGAAACCCTGTGCAACGTTACTAGGAGTCGGAACCGACTTCATGGTACACAACCACCACCACCACCACTTCACCAAGCATGATGTCCTCCTCTAAGATCTAGTGCCTGTTGATAACTTGGCCAAAGTATATGAGACGAAGCCTCACTTTTCCTTGCTCCTAAGACATATCCTAATTACTTCTTTCAACATATTTGTTCCTCTGGCACCCCATGCTGTATTCAGTGTTCTTTGCTAACACCGTAATTCAAAGATAAGAATTTTTTTCTTGTTTTCCTTATTTGTTGTTTAGCTTTCACATGCATGTTTGGTGATTGAAAATACTGTGCCTTGCTTCATTCACCTTAATCCTCAAAATGACATCTTTGCCAGGTAGCTGCCTTCTAAATTTCTTGGCATAGATGAGTTGAGTGCCTTTAGTGATCACTCCTTATGTTATTCACAATTAGTATTCTCTCAATTCCTGGAGCCTTGTGTTTTGCCATTGCCTTTGGTGGAGCGTAGCCTTCTTTCAGTGACATTGGTTCTTGATAATATGCTACATCTTAAAATGAATGTCGACCAGTTCTTTTGTTTCAGTGACTCTTGTTCCTTCCTTCTTTTTTTGATGCTTCCTGCATCGTATAATATATTGTCCATAGAGTCTTTCAATTTCAACTCGAGGTTTAAATTTCCTTCAGTTTTTTTTCAGCTTGAGAAATGCTGAGCATATTCTTTGGTTTTGATTTTGTAACTTCCTTCAGGTCTTTGCACACTTTTTTAATAAGACTTTGTCTTCTTGAGCTGCTCTTTGAAATTTTCTGTTTAGCTCTTTGACTTCATTTCTTCCACTTGCTTTAGCATCTTGGCGCTGGAGAACAAGTTTCAGAGTCGCTTTTGGCATCCTTTTTTTTTTTTTTTAAGTTTTTATTGTGAATTGAGTGATAGTTCAGACATTGTTCCATTGAAATGATTACAGTCTCCTCTCTTCTTGTGTTAATGACCTTTCGCTTTCTTCGTGTGCAGTGTCCTTCGTGTCATCCCACGGTATGTCTGGTCTGCTGTCGTTAGAACTTAAGTCATTGGACTGGCCAGTGCCATGGAATTCCTGCCCAGTATTTTGATCTATGTTATCTCTTCCTGTTCTGAGCCTGTGCTCCTTCCATGGTCTTTGATTTTTCCTTCTACTTGTTTGTTAATCAGAGATGGTCTAATAGGCCTAGTTTAAAGGTGTGTATGCTTTCTTTTTTTTTATATAAATTTTACTTATTTTGCTGTGTTGAGAGTATACATAGCAAAATGTACATGTACAAAATATACATTGTAAGATTAATCAGTCTCTTCATTTAATGAATTGATTTCATTTTTTGAGTTTTGCAGTCATTTTTGTCCTCTGTTTCTGAGTCGTTTCTGTCCCTCATGAACAAACTCCCTGCCACCTAAATTTCCTAGCTAATCTTCCAATCTGCTGTTGTTAGTTTGATCCCAGATACATAGTTCTTAAAATAGCTTAAGACAAACATTTGTTACTCATTAAGTTAAACTGCTGTCCAGTTTTAAGAAGACTTCAGGGGATTTTTTTGGTTTAAGGTTTAAAGATTATCTCATAGCAATAATTGCAGATATTTATCCACTCTCCATGGTTATAGGAAGTCTGGAGTGCACGAGGATTTGAAATTCTGTTCTGCAGTTTAGCATTTTGATCAAGATTCTTTTATGGAATCTTTGATCAAAATGTTTAGTCATGGCAACTTGGAGCCATCAAGTCTGATCTCATGTCAAAGGAAGCAGTTGTTCATGGAAGCAATTAGCCACACAGTCCATATTGTCCGTCTTTTCCTGAGGCTTCTTCTATTTTTCCAGACAAATAAAGACCAATTGTGCCTTAGATGACCACTCACAAGCTTTTAATGTCCCAGGCACAACAGTGAATGAGGACGTGTAGCAGATGTACTAATCATGTTGTTATGGCACTGTAGGATCAGCACAGGACTGTAAACCACAAGGTTGGCAGTTCAGAACCACCAGTTGCTCCTTCGAAACTGTATACAGGGTTGCTGTGAGTCAGAACCAACTCTACAGCACTTAACAAGAACACCAGTTGTGTTGGAATTCTGGTGTGATGCTGTAGGGTAAGCATGGAACTGCTGCTCCTCTGAAACACTGTACAGGATCATTATGAGTGAGAACAGACTTGATGGCACTTACATGCAACAATAATCACGTCGGAGGTTCTTTTTAATGTCTAGATAGATCCTGTGGAGGTCTGGAGGAATGGTCTTAATGGTGTTACGGTTTAATAGAAAGTCCTCTAGCCAAGGAGACTGGGCATCTTAGTATGGATCTAGTTCTTGGCTGTGAGATTTGGACAAGTCTTTTAATTTCTGATCCTGTTTTCTCATCTATAGAATGGGAAAAACTACTACCCATTGCCTCCCCCATCAAGAACTGTCACATGAAGGTGGGCTTAGATGAGGTGTGAAAGGGTTTTATTAGGAATGCATGGTGTTGTGCAGGGAGGTGAAGTGATACAAGCAGAACTAGAAAGCCTTAGGAACTGTTCAGCCAGCTGGCAAGAAATAGATGGCTTTGTTCCCAGGAGCATCATCCACACTCCTGCCTGTGAGCAGGCCAGGCCCTCAGCTATGCTAATGGGTGGAAGACTGAGAGCTCCCCCATGGTGGATGTGCTCCAGTGAATGCCAACAGGGTCTCCTCACTTGGACACCCTTGAGAGTGTGGCTTTCAGTTTTATCACAAGGCCT